TGCTGGCCGTCACTGGCAGCTGTGAGGAGGAACGCACCGCCGTTCAGATCACTGACAACCTGTTACTGATCTGTGCAGCACACGTTCCTCCTCACAGCCGCTGCTGAGTCAGTGACAGCCAGCAGCGGAAGAGAAGGCTGGGCCAGGAGTCTGCAGCAGAGGAGGAGGCTGGGGAGAGCCGAGGAAGAGGCGTGGGCCAGCAAAGGAGGTGGGGCCCACCAGCGACTGTGGAGGAGGAGGCAGAGAGCGGATCGGGCTGACAGGTAAGAGGTGGGCTCTGCAAGGGGTGTAACTAGAAATCACAGGACCCCATACAAAATGTTGCTATGGGGCCCTATGATTTCTAGTTATGCCCCTTATTAAACCCTCATCGTTAAATTCATATTTCCCTATAAATCCATCTGCCTTCTTTTATCTCACATCACTTGCAATTTTGTTTTTTTTTAGAGATGTAGCTGTCGCTGTCTCTTTTTCACAGTGATCTGTCCTTATCCATTAACATACAATGCAGTAGCCAGGCGTTTACCCTTTTGTTAGGACAGGCAGGTGTTTAAATCTACGACCAGACGGGAGACTTTTGGATGCGCGTCGGCATCTTTAAACATCCTTCGTGCACACTCGAAACCACCAGAATTTGAAACAGCCAGCAATCGCTGTTTACATACAAGCGCTCCGGCGTCTGTATGATGCATCTCTCTGTGTGCCCCCCTCCTTACCTCTTCTCGCCGTACCCGCGCCGCGATCCTAGACTAGCAATGTGGCTCTGTGCACTGAGAACAGAGGGAGAAAAAAACCCCACACATTTTTTTAAAGTCCCCCACTCACGCATTAATGTGCAAAAATGCGTTAGGTGCGCCTACGCGCAAAAACGACGATTGCGCCAATTACGCAGCACTTGTTACATATCATCGCAATTGTCGGAGTGAGAGCAATAATTTTAGGGCCATTAATCACTGTTAAAACTAAACTGATGAGCGGTAAAAGCTTTTAAAGCATCGCCTATGGCAGATTTTGGGTAGGGTAGCTTTTTTGCGATTTTGCGAGCGTGCACAATTTTAAGGCTTGACATGTTTGGTGTCTTTTTACCTGACGTGACCCCGACTTTTATATTTTACCAAAAAATTGGGTAATAAATGTTTCCTAACATAATAAAGGGAAAACAGTAATTATTTCGGTACTTTTTTTGTTATATAGTAAAAAATAAAAACCCCAGTGGTGATTAAATACCAACAAAAGAAAGCTCTATCTGTCCCCCAAAAAATGGTATATTAAATGGTATAAAATTAATTTAAGTACAGCATTGCATGACAGAATAAATGTCAGTCAAAGTACCGCAGCGCTGAACACTGAAAAATGGCCTGGACAGGAAGGGGGTGTAAAAATGCCTCCTTTTTTCTTGCTAGCGTAACGGATTGTTCGATGTCCACTAATAGAGGTGTGAAACTTTTGTAGAGTAGCACATCTATGGCAAAGAATCCATGTCTCTTCTTTTTTCTTTGCTGAAAATCATACATAACCCCAAGAAAAGCCTTCATGTTATAGTCAACTTAATAATTTTAAGTCCTCAACTCCAGCTGAAGCTCCAACTATTCTTTTGAATTATGGTGCGAATCCTCCCCACAGATAAATATATATATATTTTTAATTTTATTTTATTTATACACACACAAATGTTTACC